TGTATATATTACTGGAGACAGGCATTTGATTTTCTTGGAGTCTAGTTGGTTCCTGTTGAAACCAGTGGCGTGCTGATTTCCAGAAATTTCTTATTTAATTTTGTCGAAATTTACCTTTTTTCCCTTTTATAAATTTTCTCGTTTTTCTTCTTTACCTACTCATTCCGCTTTTTTAATTCCTCAACATTTTCCTTCAGACCGGTTGTTCCGAACGCGAATTTTGTGAAAGCGCGTATTTCGGTGGTGGATTAAAAAAAAGGGGGGGGGGAATCTCTGTCACTAAATAAACCCGAATATACCTACTGTTTCTCTTCCATCAGTCAATTTTAATAAATTTGTGTTGGAGGTTAATTTTCCAGGATTGTGGGGGGATTCTGCTTATTGGAAACATGAAAAACAGTACACTTAATGGCGATGTTTATAAAGAGACTACTAAACTTTAACACTGATGCTGTTCAAGAGAAAAAACCTCAGAATTTTAGCCATAGGATCGTACTGTTACACACCAATAAATTTCACAAGGCTCAAAAAGTTCGATGTTATCGATGAAAGTGGCTTCCAGGAGTTCGCCCAATAGTTTGGATTTAGCATCCTGCGACTAATATCTTTTGCTTCTAATGAGAACCTGAAAGTTGCTGCTAGAGCTACCAACACATTTTTTAAGATTTATTGCAAAAAAAGGTACATATGCTTGGTTTAGTCCTTTCCTTCATATCTAGGTACATTAGGTAGGTATATAAAAATTTCTCGCATTTCCAATGAAACATCCTGAATTTATGCAAACAGAATACATTCCAGGTTCTCCCCTTACATTATGTCAACGATAAGGCGTCTTAAAACGTTATTGTCAGATAATTGTAAAAGTCTGGTAAGTAACACTTAAAAAAAAGTAATACAAATGTGGTTACATGCGTCAGAATAAGCCGCGTTATTTTTAACAAGGAACGCCAACTTGATTTAGTGTTTGAAATTGGTGTGAGCGTCTGACAGAACGTTTAAAACAACATACATTTCTGTTTTACATCTTCATACTTTTATATCTTTATTTTTTGATATTTCTGCAGGTAATTTCACCGACATAAATATTTTGAAAATGTTCTGCAGCGATTCAAGTCCATTCGCACATTATACTTAGAACTTGACGTACGATCCGACCGTGCATTTGATTTGCGACACAATCCACTCATCAACACTATTAAACGGTCATAAATTTTCGGTAAGAAATTAGAAAATAAAACCGTACGGAAATGGTCTGTAAATTTCGACCCAACCCAAAACGACAAACAGAAATTGATGGGTCGCACTTAAGACGACTGTTAATGAATATACCTAACGCTTCTTTGCGAGTTCATTTTGCGCATATTTAATTAAATTAGGTGATTTATAGTTGGCGTACATTTTTTTCTAAACGAAATCAGTGAAGAGTTTATAGCGAAAGCGGCGGTGGTATTCTGATTTATTTTGTTTTCACTCTATTTGTCAGCTTATGTGGCGCTTGGGGGATTTAAGGATACTCATTTTGGAACAACTTGCACGTTTGTCTTTCGACACTGGCGTCTATTTCCTGACTTTTTATTAAGTTAAAATGTTGTTTTAGGACCTCACAGTGCAAAAATGCCTATACCTACTCGTAATTTTAGAGGGCCTTAATTTTTAATTTACCACCTCACTTGAAAACTTTATTTTCCGGCGACAATATTTACGGAACGCTAATAGAAATAATTGTAACTTAAATTAACGTTTCATTCGTCATCTTAATTTAGAGTTACAAAAAATCCTATTACGTTACGGTTTAAATGCTTATAATTCAGGATTTTAACACCGTTTAATAATGTGACAAAAATGTTTTCACGACATATGCAGCTGCGCTGGCTCCGACGATGGAAATACTTCTCTCTAAAGACCACTAGCGTTTGTAAAACATTCGCTGGATACACTGTGGTTGGATTTAAAAGGAGGATTGCGGCTAATTTTAAACACTAATTAGTCATTTGTAAGGCTTAATAGACTAATAAACTGAGTAGAAAACTTAATTAAGGAACGCTCCTTTTGCCGATGTTTGTCAGTTATGTCAAACTTCACTTGTTCTTGTCATAATGCGAGAGGTTTGATCACTTGTTTTACTTTTTCAATAAATTCACGTAAATTGATTTCCAAGGTGCTTTCACCAGAGCACGAGTAGTTGAAACATTACTCGTTCCTTAATTTTTCTAAAATGTTTATGTTAGTACCTAATTAGCAGTTGTAGTTTCCTTGAAAGGAACTAAGTACTACTTCAAATCGCCAATCGACTTATAATGAGACCGCTATTATATTTGTAGTGAATTATTAAACTGTATCAAGGATGTAATTTAGAGATTCCTTTCCTACTTTGTTAGCAAGTAGTGAAAGTAATACTTAATTCAATAAGATCAAAAGGGGTGGTAGGTCGTTTAAATATTCGATATTTATAAAATAATTCATGGTTATTTCATAATCGATAATCATTAATTTTGAGAATCTGTTTAAATCTTAAAATTCAATAGCCATGCCTTTGGGGACAGCCTTATTGCCAGTGATAGCTCGCACAGCATCTCCTGATAAAAATTTGCTGGTTTTAATCGGATAATTAAATACACGATTAATTGATTTATATAGTTTTTATGTTCTAATTAAAATGCCGTTCTGAAAATTATAAAGTTTATGCCCGACTTACTTAGAAAACATGAAATTTATTTCATCTTGTTAGGTAGTTAGGCAAATAAACTCCTATACTCCACCAGCCCAGCTAGCTCAATTAAGTACAAGTACTAACAAACCGTTTACAAGATTATAATTTTCTAGAGCACGTCCGGCCTCAGCCACATCGAAAATCTCGATATTGACGTAAATTTTATTAATTTGTATTTGAGGAATTCAGCAGCCTTAATCGTCTCCAAAGAATTAATTAAGAAATTGCCTGATGTAATTTTGAGTACAAAATATAAAAATTTAACACTCGTATTTGGGTCGTAATTTGTGGTCAATTAAGCACAAAACTAACCATTGACGGATGAAACAAAATTTATTCGACACAGAATAATCAAATAAGCTGAAAGCAACTCAGGGTCAGATAACACACCATGCAACAAGCGATCGATTAAACAAATTAAATAAGTAAAACATATGAGACAACTCTTACCTTGAATAAAGTTAGACGTTGACGCCAAGAGCTGAGCTCAGTTATCGCATCCAAACCTGAAAACAATCAAACAAAAACCTCTCAAGCCGCAGGACTCGGTCTGCAATTACTTGACAAAAATAGTTATCAACTAAGCTGTTAAATAGTTGTCCCATATGAGGGTGGATCTTCGATGCTACATCTCCTTCATGACTCGGTGACCTATTCCACCGCAAAATGGCCGTTTGTGATCAGCAGATGTAGAACTAAGCTAAGGACGTCTGCATCCGCAAATAATGGTGAATTTAACTCAAGGTTTGTAAGCTTGTACGTCGAACAAGAACTGGTACGTAACGTAAAACGTGAAACTTGAACCCTAAAAGAAATCAAAGGTAACCTCTTATACCTCTTATATAAGCGTGGTAATCCTAGATTAAGAAACAGCTACAGCTCTAAAGACGCACGATAAATAAACGAAATGCAACATAGCGGTATCTACGACAAAAGGGTAAAAACGCATATGTACAACCTCCACTAGAAGCACAGGTTAATGTCGGACAAATAGGTAATCGCTTGGGAATGCCCAAATTACGAATTCAATCGCCAGAGATCAATATACAGTGTGTCCGCGCATTAAGTTCACTATTATACTACCTACACGGTAATTGATGAAACATTTTTCGTTTTGATGTTTTTGGATCCAGGCCTGCTTGGTCTAGAAAAAATTTTAAGCACATTTTTATTTCTTAAAATCCAAGATGGCCGTGACAATTAAGAAAATCATACTTTTATAGTGGCATTTTGGTCAATAATACGGCAAATTGTTATTAAGAGAAGTTGTTTAGAATATGAAATTATGTCAAAATTTCACAAATATCGCATCACTTTGATTAAATCAGTATTTCATTTGTAGTCTTCCATTTGAACTAAGTACTCTGTATAACAGATTGTTTTAGATGTCACTTTAATCTTAATCCCAGATAACAATAATTCATTTGTTTTATTTAGACATAATATTTATTTCTGTGGTTTCTATGCAAGACTACAAATCAAATACTGATTTAATCAATCCTATACTTGTGAAATTTTGGGTATGGGCATAATTTAATATTTTAATTCTTAATAACAGGTTGTCGTTTTATTGATCGAAATGGCACTTTACCTAAACATAAAATTATTTTTTTCTCAATTGTCATGGCCATCAGGGGTTTTAAAAAGTAAAAATTTGCTTGAAATTCTTTTCAGGCCAAGCAGGTCGGGATCTCAAAACATCAAAATTAGATTTAAAAATTTTTGATCAATAATGCGCATAGTAAACTCAATCCGCGGACATACTGTGTTCATTTGTAAACTAAATAAACTATTGTTAGTTAATGCCCCTAAATTACTACTACGACTAAGGGTCGTGTTACGAAAACTTCTCAATATGAGTGCCATTAATGGTAAACGATTGGAATGGAAAGTAGGTATAAACTTTCAATCTGCAAAATAAATTAGATACAACAATGTAATAAAAATAATTCAAACCCATCAATTACCATAATGCAAAAATAATGATTTATTAACTCCCACTCTTCTTTTCATATTTTATATCATACAAATTTTCTTCCTTCATATTGTTACAATGTGGTAGGTAGGTCGGATTGGTATCTAAAACTAGAAAGCTATTAAGCGTTCTTGTCTACCATTAAAGTTAATAATTTAATTTAGAATTTAAATTTAATTAACTAAAGATGTGATTGCATGTTTTTCCAAGTTATCAGATTCTATTAAAATTGCTCATTAGGAATCACTAAAAGCTCATTTCATATAAACAAAGCAATTCACGTATGAAATCTAATAAGGTTAATTTTTGTTACAGATGGCCAAAACCACCTAAACCTGTTCAACAACCGGCAGCAACCGAAAAAGAAGCGGAAGTCGCGCACGGCCTTCACAAATCATCAAATTTTCGAATTAGAAAAACGATTCCTCTACCAAAAGTACCTTAGCCCAGCGGATCGTGACGAGATCGCGCAATCTCTCGGACTTACGAACGCACAAGTGATAACATGGTTTCAAAATCGTCGTGCGAAACTGAAACGGGACATGGAAGAGCTTAAAAAGGACGTCGAAAGTACGAAACTACTACACGCGCATAAAAGTTTCCTCGAAAATGTACAAGATTTGGGAATTTTAAAGAAAAAAGTTGTGAATGACGATGATTGCCCGAAAAATTTAGTGGTCTCATCGGATAAATAGTGTGTACTTAAGAGGAAATTTACGCAAATATTACTTTTAGTCTAAATTCCGTTAAGTAATACTTGTGTCTTATATGCCGTTGTGTTTTCATTCAAACGCATTCCGAATTACGTTACTAATTCAAATTTTTATAGAAACAAGAGTATGATCGGCGAGTAGATGAAGAATGCCACACATCGACTTCCTTTATTTGATTTTATCCGATTTGGATCAAAATTGCAACGACTCTCCCACTTGTATATAGTTCCCCAAAAAATTAAGCGACGTTCGATTTTGTACAAATGTAAATAATGTATTTAGATAGATTTCGTAAATGTTGATCTATATATGTGTATGTAAACACAACTCTGTTATATTAATGTTAATAATTTATTGACGTCGATTAGACGGGTAACTGCAATATTTTATTAGTGTACAGTAGTAAGCTTTAGTATTTTTCATTGTGGATAGCGTCAATGTGAAAATAAAAGATTTTTAAACTGGTTGCGTCTTATTGGGTAACTGAAAGGTCGGCAGCTTTGATCTTTAGTCCCCTAGAACATTGTAGTTAAATTTACTAGCGATGATTTATGAATATTTAGATCCATAGAAAATTTATGGCTAAAATTATCCAGATGCGCCAGAATTTAATTATTTTTAATGTAGGTATCTGCCTAAATGAATATCTGGTACGTATTCGATGTAAGGACTAACGCTTGCTTGTTTTTCTAGAATTTCCGCTTGTCACATTAAATTATGCATTTGATAAATACACTGACGAACCAATTTCCTTGGTGCCTTCTTTATTGCTACTGACAGTTTGCACACGTTCAAATATAAATCGATCCATATACAAAAATTAAAGTGAGCAGGCGAGGGCAGATTATACTGTTATAGGCACTCGGTCCAAGAGTTCGAAATTAATGTAAAGCTAAAAGCTAAGCAATTAAGTAATTTTTAATATGCAAACTTGTAGCTTAATTCAGTTATTAATTAATGTTATTTCCTTAACCTACCGAACACCTACTGTTCGTGATCTAAATTAAAAAACCTTGTTAATGAAGAAGCTTGTTAATAAAAAAAATATTTGTAAACAACTCTATCACTTACCGCCCGCTATAATAGACGCTTAGGAAACAGTTCGTAGAACAAGCGCTCCTTAAAAAGGAATAATACAGGGCGCGTTTTGAATAGATAATTTGTTCTTCAAGAGACAAATATGTAAATGAGTTTTTTCAATTTCGACCGATATCTGTCCATAATTGGTTTCATATCCAAGAAATCAACACCGTGATGATTATCATGTTAGGAGTATTATACAGTGTGGTAGTAATATCCGAAGCAATGGATTTGCGAATGACTGATTTCTGATGAGCATGTCCTTCTTTACCACAGAAAAACGCAATATTACAATGTATACTAATTGTTTATTAGGAACCACGACCTGATGTGTAATTTCACGGGATCTACTACACATCTCCTCTTCGGTTGCACGATCATTCTTTGATAAATTGATACAATTTTTTATCGCACAATTTCATACTAGCGGCACTAATAACAATGACGTTTTCATTGCTCCAATCGAACGTAGGCAAATAATATACTGCATTAGTTTTCTATTCATTATAACCAGCAACACTTTCGGATAAGCTTGGTCCTATTTTTTCCCTATATTTTAGAGAGTGTTCCATATTTTTTGACGTTTTGCGATTTGCAACTTTTTTTACTTACATACCTTGACAAATGAAAAAGAGTTACATCTTAAGGACTCATCTTCTTAAAAAGGTGTAAACCTTGTTTATGCATTTACCCACTGCACGTACGACGATGTTCGTGATCAGCTAGCTTTACAACTTATAAGCCTGCCAGTCAAGATCTCTGCTGCAAAATCTAAAGTAATTGAATTGAAAGCCCTTTAGTATAGTAGAGTAGAAAATTTACCGCGTGAAAGGTTGCAGGTAAGTATACATCAAACGTTGCATTGTGAGGATTATATAAATAATCTCTAGATGCTGGAATGAAAGGAATAGCAGAGACAACAAGAAAAACAGCAATGCCATAGGATAACAAATTACCCAGAGAATTCCAAAGAGAACTAGGTACCGGCTCACATTATCATAGCAATAAAACGAATAGTATACAAAATTCATGTAAAAGAATGATGCACCCATTATTCGATTTAAATATTGGCGGTTTTCATTTTTTGAAACAATCGCAACTTTTTAGTTTAACTTCTTTGATGAACTGGTAGGACTGGATTTGAAATATTTGTTCAAATTTTCCATTCTGTTCTATCCAAGAAAGAAATAACAGGAAATCCCGTTGTTGTGCCTATCAACCCTTAGGTAAATATACTTGTTATTGGTTGTCCAAGTGAATTGTTCGAAGACCGGGGTGGGGGGGGGGGCAAATTTGTAAATATCAGACGCGTTATCTCTTCGGAAAACTCCTCAGCATTTTTGTACAACTTTGCTTTACAAAATTTCGAGAAGACAATCTTAAGCCTACAAACATCCTAATGTTCCATTCGGCTGAATTGTGATACGCATTTTTGTAAAAAAAAAAATAATTAAAAAAACATTTCAAGCAAAGAGTCGATCGAGATCGTGATTAATCTGAATCATTCCGAAACAGTTGTGGGGAAGAGTCAATATGCGGACGCGTCTGCCGTTAACAAATATGCGACCGGGAGTGCTTCATCCTGAGTTAGACTTCAGAGTTCAGGTGATGTAATTTATTTATTTTTGTCTTTAGTTTATTACACATCGTGTGATTACATCATTGCATCGCATTATACAGGTGCATTAGGTTAATACAATTGGTATTACGTGCCAACCCCATAACAATACAGGAAAACTCGCTTTCACGTTGCAGATGTAGGGATTTTTATTAACGATCCTCGAGATCGTTTATAATTTTGTATTGCTGTCTTTATGTCCGTCTGTCTGCCCGTGTGCATGTTAACTTTGTGTAGAAACGTCCGATCGCTTTGAAAATTGATACACATGTCAACACGGGCTAAAAAGTTACAGTCCAAAAACTGCCCAAACCTCAAAAAAAGGGTTTCTTTTATAATTCTTGTTACAAAGAACATACGAATGTCCGGTTTTCTGTGTTAGTAAATGTTCCTTAACCTCGGGTAACTATGCAAATGAATAAAACAAAATTGCGCATGCGCAACCCAACTTTTGTATTTGCGCAATCCCAATTTTTTTATCAGGATATTTAAATGAATAAATAAAATAAAAGTAAAACTAATAAAGATGCAACAATTTGTTTTACAAAGTATACTGATCTGGTGGGACAGAATCAATCCCTTAAGGTGTGCTTATTAGTACGCGGGACATTAGAAAAGAAATCTACCTAGCCAAAAGAAAACAAATGATAAACTTGAAATTAGGGTGTCAGATTGTGTCATGTCATATTTTCTTACTCTACCAGCAAACTTGAACTTGTGACAACTATCTTGCATTTTATGTGGTGTTTTGTGCCACAATATGAGTTCCCAGAAGTCAGAACATCGCAGTGTCATTAAGTGTCTAACAAAAGGAGGACCTCATACGCTGAAAAATAAAATAATGAAAACCCTGGCATGTCTTTTGTTTCATGTCGAGGTACATTTCTTTTTTAGCGTCCCTCGTATTTATTTACAGGGTGTTCCTCATCTGGAGGCGGTTTTGTAGGTCAAAATCATTGAATACTGCCCTTTCCTTTGAATTAAGAATTTCCTCTAGTATTTTGCCACGGCATGTTTCTTTGTTGTATTGTAATGCTACTTAACGTAATTCTCCTTGCACTATTTATCTGACCAGGGTAATAATGAATATTCATATTTATAAGCAGAGTGACTTGTGGTTCTGCTTGTGGTATATTTGAATTCGACAATCTCGCCTTGAGCGTTGTATACCAGAGCTATATTTATATGGACTTGTTTTTATGTGTCCATCCATTTTGTTGATATTGCTAATCGATTCTTTTAGTTTACCGTTGACATATGGTGACTAAATATCAGTTTCACGTGAATTTTATGGTACGCTGGAGCAAATAAGTCGCATCTCAAAGCCCATGGAAGCTATATATTTTGTTTATGATTATGTGCGAGTAAGTATGTCACTGGTTGCTATGTTAATATTATTGTTATAATTTTAAGTTGTTGTTTATGTCATGACTTGTCTTTGTTTCATCGAGTTGTCATGTTAATGTTAAAAAGGCCTGATTTCAGCCTCTAGTTACCCAGGGATCTGCTAACCTAAAAATAGTACACTATGTTCTCGTTGTGCCCACAAGCCATTATCTATATGGAACCGTTAATTGCACAGCTTGGGGAAATCGTTGGAAATTATTTTTGGGTTTCTGGGATTGTCCCTCAAGGACGTACGGTTAATGGTTAAAAAAAAAGACTTTTTTTCCTAAAATATACCCAACAAACATGCATAAAAAATACATAGCAATCTTGTATGCATTTTGTATCATTGTGATGTATCATATATTGCTCTACCTCATACAATATGAGAGGTGGGGGAACGGGCCCCCCGAGTTGTCTCAATTGAAATACTAAAAAATCCACAGGGAATTTTTGGTTCCCAGGAAACCAGTGCTCTAAAAGAGGCTAAAAGGTTTACTCTTCTTTTCATTCGTTCGTTATAAGCTGCTCTGAGGAGACCCTTGTGGATTATCTCAAAGCGAATAACATTTTGAGTGTAAAATGTCTGAAACCGACATCCAAACAACCTGATGAACATGCTTAATTTAACGCAAAATTGGGACTATATTTGCTACAAATGACCATAAGTTACAAATGATTATAAGACTACAATGAACCATTTTTTAATGATTTGAGTTTTTTGGGACATTTTTTAAAATAAAAATTGTACTGGTACCTACTTGTAAGATGGCGAAAGATAACGCATCTGGAGATATTCATATTCTATTCTTCTACTGGTGCGCCACGGAGTCTGCAGACTCTAAATTGGTCATCTGCGCATAGCCCCCTTCTTTATGTGGCGGTCCCTGTGGTTCAGTAATCCGTAGGCGGCTTAACGGTAAATTTGTCTACTTGTGGCAGAGGAGGCTAAAAACAGGTAGTCCCAAAAATATCTTGTGCCTCAACAACCATAACAGATTCCTTGCCCTTTTAAATTTATTCCTGCCCCAAGATAGAATACCGTGTTACCAACATTAGTTACCACCATATAGTTTTAGAAGAATAAGGTATTTAATTTAAATTTAATAACCGCCCTATACCGTTAAAAAATACAAAATTTGCGGAAACCGGTTCTGTGGCAAAAACGTCCAGAAGAGGCAATAAAGGAAACTTAAATCATGCATGGGGAAATGGTATTATAGGAATGGTATCCGCTTATCCTATAAGTAGGTACTATTGCGAAAGAGAACAACTGTTACGGGAAACTGCAATGTAACTCCCCAAAGGGTATGGAAAATTTTGCGTGAATATAATTATTATCCAT